GCGAGTAAAATTCATTTTAAAGAAAGACAGACGTGCGCAGATAAAAGGACAAAAGGGAGGGAAGGAGCATCGCGCACGGGGAAGGGGAGGAGGAGGGGAGGTGGTGGCAAGAGGATACACTCGTTATTTTTCATGCGATATTCAACGATGGTTCATTCAATTGAACCTTACACGCCTGCCTCCACGGAACACGCGGGCGACGTATGCAAATAGGCCAGTGACAAATGATCTTGTTATTCCCATGGTTCGCCTCTTGCATGCGCCTCTGCACAGGTATTGTGCCGATCCCCTAGGCTGGCCGTCGTCTTTCAGCGCGAATTTTCTTCGCTCGTTCGTTCGACGACGTATCCCTCGCTCATCTCGCCTCGATGGCGCGCGCGAGCCACAATGAACGGGGACGAGGAGAAAAAAGAGAGGAGGAAAAGGTAACGGGACCAGGCTGACCCCCTCTCTCTCTCTCTCTCTCTCTCTCTCTCTCCATCGCTTTTGCGAGAGAAGGAGATTCGCCTCGCGATTTTTCGACTCATCTGTCTTCGTCTGGACGAGCCGAGTATTTTTCATTTCCGCGTGCCTTCGTGGACGCGGCAAAAGGTTCGCGACCTTGTTTCCACGCGATTGGATCCGGTTTTCGAGCAACTCGCGCCTCTGGGATTTGCTCGGGAAAATTTTGCCCCGAAAAAAAGTTATCGTTCGATTTCGGCTCAGTCCAGTTTGTATATATATATATCTGTAAGATTGGGGGAAAAATGCGAGGGGATGTGCTTGTTCCGTGTGAAAATCAAAATTGAAATTGTTGCAATCGTGGAGATTTTTTTTTCCACGATCTTTGATGGACTTCAACGGATGATTTGATTAGAAATTTCTTCGTATATTGTATATATTAGTTGGTTGTTGTGAGAGAAAATGGGAGAGGTCCGAGGGAAAAAGAATGGCAAATAACGTATTTAATTAATTTCATAACGCCGAAAGGAATAAATATTCGATATATTTTTAAATGTATCTTGAAAAACAGTGTATGAATTGAAGTTAGAAAGTTAATTATTAATATTTAAGTTAGAAACTTTCAAGCCATTTTTCTTGATATATTCGTTTTCTTTGCTCTTTGACTAAGCTTCAACCATACGTACGTATCGCTCGTCTAATAAACGCTGAACCGTGAGTCATTCGATTTAATTAAAGCTTGTTTATCGTTCGTAGAATGAAGGCAATTACAAAGAAACCTACACGACAATAACGTCGCTGAGAAAGTAATTTCGTACTGGTATTAAAATGTCAACTTAAAGGAGAGGGAGAGAGAGAGAGGGAGGGAGGGAGAGAAAAAAAGAAAAGAAAAAAATTCGCCAAGATCCCGATTGAAAAATAGAATTGTGAGAGATTGGGAGAGAAACGATGGATGTGGAATAGGACGATTTCGAATAAACGAAAAATTGCACCTTGATGCAACTTTCTGCCTCGAACGTTTCTGCGTTCGACGTGTAATTTTCGAACGCGTATTTTCGATATCGTTCCTTTGATTTTTAAATTTTTTTTCCTCTCCTCTTTTTAAAAGGCTGAAAGCGTTTCGAATTTCGATATATTAAATCTTTCTCAGAAGAAGCGCACGTTTCAAGTGGCAATAATTTAGAAGAAATTGATAGCAGAATTTTATAAATTGAAAGATTGAAATACAATTTGAAGAGTAACAAATTTGAGCGACGAATTTTCACTATTTTCACTAGTATTTAATTCATTCAAAAATATTGTCTTATATCTGTTAAAAAATTCGAGAATTAAAAAACAAACTAAATTTATGAATTGTTCGAGATATAACTTAAAGAAAATTTATATAAATTTAGAAAGAAGATATGTATTTTCGAAATATCTTTTGATACATTGAAATTTTTCTCGCTTTCCCCTGTTCCTCCTCAGCCAAAAGTCTTCCTGTTTTCAGATTATCAATAATCGTAATCCCATTGACAAAGGAGAAAATCCATTCCTCCAATCAACGAAATACAACGATTAATTGAAAATAACATCAACAATTAAAGAAATTAACTTTAATCTTTGATTTGGAGTAACTATTTAATAAGTTTAATCTCGACTTTGAATATCCATCTTTTCCACTGACTAAATCTAGTAGCTACTGGAAGAAAAATATAGAGTTTTTCTCGAATTCGCGATGAGGATCGATGCTTTGGCGGAGAATGGGCGGCCATTCGACGCAGAGTTCGTTTGATGAGGATAAAAGAAGATCTGCGAAAAAAGAAAGGTGTTTCGAGGGTCAAGAATGTTTTTTATCGTGTCAGCTGGTCCATCCGGCACTTGGCCATTCGGCTTATGATCCGTGATTCCTCTCCTTAACGCTCTCCTTAATTATTCTCCACGCAGAGAAAGAATGGAGAAAGAATTTTCGTTATTCGAAAATAAAAAGTTAAAAAACGCGAAGAGAAAGAGAGAGACAATTGTTCAAAGATTTTATTATTCGATATGTGCATGCATTCCTTTCCTCCATCTTGTGCATAAAATAGAAAATCTTTGGTGACTTTGTTTCAAAGCTTCCGAGCAAATAGCCTACATTTGCCTCCGATCACGTCTCCCTGTTAGCGCGAGTGCCAACCCCATTTTCTTTGAAATTCATCCAGCCCAAATATTTCGCAAAAATATCATAAACCCCCCAAAAACAGGGGAAGAATAATCGAAACAATTCAATTTAACAATGTTGTAAAACGCAAAAATTCCTCTTCTAAACATCAACCAATCCTCCGCGTTGATCCTCATTATCTCAACAAACCCTCTCAAGTCTTAGAGATATATTATCGTCTCTCACGTAACGAACCCTGTGTCCACTCTAACTTTTTTAATATTCACGAATTCACCTTCGATCGAATGAGAGTATAAAAGAAAGAAAGGATGATGAGAATCGTTGACGATTATACTCAAACTTTCCTTACCTCCCGCGTAAAGAAGAGATGAAAACCGGTGGATCCGGCGTAACAATAAGATTTCACGGCGTATATTCGACGGAGGGCCGTGGTAAAGGAAATTATTTAGTCCCCCCATTAACGTCATCACTCGCGTTTATTCGATGTCCCTCCAACCCCCTCAGTCATCCCTCTTCCTCTCCACGATCCACGCTCGAAAATCCGCCCCCGTTACACCGCAACTGCCCTCGTTATTTAACCTCCGCGCGGCTTGACGAGGGAGCGGCGGATTTGATTTCATTCGTTTCGCGGGAGAAGGAATAATATTATGTTATTCTCGTAACTCTAATAATAACGCGGCCACTTACGCTAACGACCTAAACGCTCACGCTTAAGTTAACCGGTCGGCGCTTCGTGAGCCGCGCGACGAGTTAACCAACCCTTCTTCTTCGCTTCCGGCGAAGAAGCGGAGGATTCATGATGATCGATGTCGATCGTTGGAGGAATTTGTTTTTCATCATCGTTGAACGGATGGATGGACGGATGGATGAAATTCGGAGGATTAATTCTCGCGATGAAGAAACGTTTTATAATTGTTAGGAGGGGAAGATGTAATAAAGGTTGGGGGTTTGTTCACGGAGCCAGCGGAGGTATTACTCTTGTTTTAGGATTCTAGGTGGTAACGGGTCACGAGATCACGAGAAATCCATTTTGCTGCGGGGTCTTATCCCCCCGTTGCTCGCTTTTGTCGAAGGAGAAGTCACGTAGGATAAGTCTCGTGTAAAATATCGTCCCATGAACCTCGATTTCTTTTTTTTCTTTTTTTTTCTTTACGATCTATAAATCTTCTTAATTCGAAAAGAACTGGGATAAATAATGTATATGTGCATTGTCTTTGTCGTTCTTGTATCTTTGTGTATTTCGTGGGTAAAAATATGACTGGTTGTAATCGTTTTTTCAATGAAATTTTTTAACATCAAGTGTTTTCGATATATATATATATAATTTTTGAGCTCAATTTAAAAAAAGAAAAAAAATCTCATAAATTTATCTGCATCAAATTTATACTATCGTTCAAAAATTTGACAGCAGTTAGATTTTTGCGCGAAATAAAAAAAAATATATATATATCTTTAGAATAAAAATAATATTGACAAAACAATATTTTAGAAATCAGATGGAACGTTAAAAATTTGTTGTTTAAAATTTTTATTTATATTTCCTTTGCTTGGAAAAATTATTAATATTAACTCATTTGTCCAAGCTTGAAATCAAAATTGAAATCTTTTCGGGCACAATGGCGCAATAACCGCTTAATTCCTCTTAACTTACGCACCGAGCGCAGTGTTTCTTTCTTAAAAGGGAAGTTTAAAGTTTAATTGAATTCCACGTAAATTTACGACCCATTTGTGGAAGCACCTGTTGTAAAAATGCGCCGGACAATAAATTTCTTTTCATTCTATTATTCAACGGAGTTAGACTTACTCGCTACGTACGTTCTCATTTCCATTTAACGGACTTATACGGCCGATACGTTAATCCGTTTTTCCCTTTGCCGTATTAAGCCCTCCCCTATTTGCACAGAATAACACGAATAAGTAGATTCTTAATATCGGTTTTAAACGCGATTTTATTATTCCGCTTAATATCGCGCTCGTGAACACGCATTTCGAATTTACTTCCTTGCCACGTTTTTTTTTTCTTTTTTCTTTTCTTTTCTTTTTATTACCGGTTATGTACCGGTTATTATTACAGAAATTCTCCCGCCACGACTGAACGGAACCTTTTTTCCTCCCTCCCTTCTCCCTCCGCTTATCCCGATACCGAGCGCAACACAATGGAACGTAAGGAATAAAATTGTGTCCATTGTACATTTTTACTCGATATATACGTATGCGTACGTTTCCGGTCTTTCCTATCCGGCATATAAATTGTATCGTACCAGTTTGTATAGAGGTACTTAGTCCTCCGTTTCCCCCTTCCCTCCCGGAACGAACGATGGAATTCTATGAATTCTAATTACCCGCAATTTATCCCCTTTCTTCCCCCTTCCTCCCCACTTGAAAATAGGGAATATTTACACAAACATCTTCACGCGTTTCTTCTTCCAATCGTTCGAATTTCACTAACTGTCGAGAATCATCATCGACCCACCAACCGAAACTTTACAGCGAATCCCTCGTTCGAAAATTTAATACGCCATCGCCTACGATCCCCCTCCCTCCCCCCCGCAACCCTTCTTCTCCTCTGGGGAAAAA